AGCGAGCACCCAACGGAGAAAGCACGAACTGGTGGTAGAGACAGAAGTGGCCGAAAAGGGGGGTGAACAGGGTCCAAACCGCACTGCATTTTGCTATTCGCATCATCCCCATGTAGCATCTGACTCTCGTACCCTGCAGCACGGGCGGGCATTATTGGTTTTTTTTCCCTCCTCGATGCGGGGGAGCAAAGTCACCAACTATAATTATGCTTTTGTAACTGTCGGCTCGCCTTTACATTTCCTATCCATCGCTCCAATCGGGCATCAGCACGCGAGAGACGGTGCAACTGTTGCCTGTGTGTCGGGTCTCGGGAGCTGTTGCTTAGGACGAACACGAGGCGACAAGCGATGGAAGGAGAGGACTTAGGACGAGAGAGGAGAGGTTGGACGCTGATCGTTGTCCGAGACGGAAGGGATGACCACTGACCCGGTGAGGTGGCAATTGTTGCACTCTTCGAGGTCGAAGAGGGCCGAGAGGGCCTAAATGGGAAGTGATGCGCTGGTCGCTTGATGGGGGAACGAAGCGAGAGAACTAATCTGGAATTCGCCAAAGGTCGGCACATCGGCCTCACTGTAAAGAAATTGAACCCTTTTCGAGCGTCTGCTTGCTGGCCGGGGATCCAAGATAGGAAGCGAGAGACCAAAAAGACAAGTTCATGAAGGGCGGTAAATGGATGCGGTTTGTCGGACGAGCGAGTCGGTACATGTGTGGTAGGAGGTTACAGAGGGTATCCTTGCTGCATTGCAGTGAGATACATACCCTGGATGTCACTCAGCCAGGCACTCATTGGTACAAGTGGTACATTGGAGGAAGGGGGGGGAAGCTGGCGCCGGGGCTCGTGGAACCCAGTCCTTGAATGCGAACTTGGGAAGGTCCCTGTTGGTCGGACTCTTTTGGCGAGACGCACGAGGCCAATGCAAGGCAATTGTTGAGCTGGTTGGCCAGCAGGGATAACTGGGAGGGAAGCCTAACGAACCCATGGGTGCCCACCAAGTGCTATCAGGCGCCTCTAACTGCAAACACAGGTCGGATCTACACTGGACGGACTTTGAGCTCGGGACGATCGCGACCCCCGATTCAAAAGTGGAGGCATCTTCACGTCAGAGCCTCCCTTTCCTGGCCCCCCACCAAGAGCACCCCAAGCACCCCCCGGGCATAGCGTCTCCTAGAGCTCCGACAGGCACTGGCGCCTCAGTGGCTCGCCAAAACGACAAGCCGGACAAGCCTAAAACTCCACCTTTCACATCATAGCTCTGTACGAGTAGCTAAAGACTCAATACCCAAGAAAACCACCAAAACAACCACCACCACCACTACGTACTTGACCTTTTGCTAACCCTCTAACCCTTCAGAAACACAAGCTGGGAGCTTGGACCGTGTTCTTGCTCAAGCTCTCCAACGTCCATGAACAAGCTTATTGGGGGTTTCCTCATCCCGTCTCCTCCTCGTACGTCCTTGGTCGCCCTGTCGCTGTCCAACCCCCGCCCCCGTCGCTCATTGCCCTTTACTGTCAAATTCCCAGCTGCTGCAGAGCAAGCCTCATGCGCAATTGAACATCGAGTCTATTTCCCAATACCAGAGCTGGTCATTGAATCGAGACTCGTCCTCACCGCCAAGCTACTTTTTTACGTGTTGCTCTGGAGCAACGCTATCAGAATTGAAAGATATCTTTTATCCTTACCTACTCTTTTCTCCTCCTCACTTCACTTGTAAATACTACCCCCTTTTTATCCCTATACTTTTGCCAGGGATGACACATAGAGACGATTGCACCACGGCCTTATAGCTCTAATCTCCCTTTCGCTGTTATCTTCCTCCCAACCATGAGACGCATTCAGGGTCGCGTGACGCGCGATGATATTCGCTCAGCAGGGCTGAGGCGATGGGATGGTCGAGCTCGAGTCACAACAGACTGGGTTAATCTTTTTCACGTATGTGCTCATTCTAACCACGTCCTCGCACTAGACACTCATATGTCAACTCCTTTAGGAGCCTGAGCTATGCTGGCCAACAGGTGACTGTCTTGTCTACTTGCGCGAACAGGGCCAGTCCAGTCGAGGGCCTGCTTTTCGAGTCCATACGGCGTTCCTCAAAGTCAGAGGGTTCGAATCCCTGGTGGACCGCTGTGTGATGAGGAACTCGATTCATGCGGCAGTGCAATGTGTCCTGCCCAATTGTGCAGGGTGCGACCCCCAGGAATCATTACACGAACTGTATATCCCGGCGCCTCATGGGGCGAGCCTTGAGGATATCTTCAACCATCACATTACGACACGAAATTTCTTCGCATGGCTCTACAACCGACCACTGGCTGGCCGCACACTGGGGTCCGCTTTGGCTGCGCTGAAGAAGAGGGTCGATGTCTATCGGCCTGATGATAGCTCCCAGAATAAGGTCGAAGTGCTGTCGTTCGCCGAAAATCAAAGGTATCTGGACTTCCGGGAGTGTGTTGATCATGCTCTGGCAGCTCTTTCATTGGCCGAAGCTCTTCAGGTCGAGGATCTTTGGGTCGATGCATTTGCCCATTGTGTGGGAATGAGTCACCGTGGCCTTCGCTCAAGCATCGAGTATGCAGTGAGTCAACCTCCTTTTTTTGCCTTCTTTCTGCCTACGATCGAAACTAACCAAATATTAGGGCTTGAGTGCAAAGTCCAAGACACTCGTCAATCGCGCGAGACTGGAGATGGACATCCGACTGGACAGGGTCAACAAGTCCGTCGTGACCTTCTTTGAAAACGACGTCTCGGGAAGCTTCCTCGGTCTACCACAACCAGCGCGAGATCACCTCAATAAATTCCGAGCATTCCTCAAGTCATTCTACCAGGATCGCTACGGCTCTTGGCCTCCTAACCGTTTCGAAGAAGAGGTCATTCAGCAAACCATATACTCAACGATGTTCTCGGATTTCAAGAACCTCTATCAGCACCTAGTCGACCCTGAGTCCACAGTGGATATGGTAGAGAACGACATCTCCAAGACTGGTGGTGTGTGTACTCTTCAGAACATCCAAGCTTTTGACAAAAAGCACTCTTACGAACCCCTTACTCAACCACTACCTCTCCTACCTGAGCCATTGGAGGCTAGCTCGAGTCCACGCCCTAAGCTTCAGCGAAGACTGTCTTGGAATCCAATCCAAAAACGCAAGGCGCTCAAGGAGAAACGAAAGGCGCATGACAAACGCGCGTTGATTGGTGCCTCCAATCGAGATCTATTGGTCATGGACTGTCCCTTGGTCCGCAAGTACTCTGAGTTCGAGGAAATGACCGTCGATGATGATCTTGAAGGGCTCTCTGCTATAGAGGGCCGCAAAGTGAGATGGATCCTCGTCTATGCTGTCCTCCAAACTTTCCATTCAATCGCCCAGCCCCCGAAGGAAGTACGCAACACCTCTAATCTAACATACTCCCTCTGCTGTCAGCCTCCAAAACAGAAGCCGTGGCAAGAAACACCATTACCCCAGGTCCGTACTTTGAACAAGAAGAAGTCTCAGCTGGCTCCCGACAATGGCTATTCACACACCAATGCGTCGTCTTCTTCGCTCGGCGAGACACTGACAAGAGGAAGATCGGCGAAGCTCCGTCGGCGCACACTCCCTGCGAACCTCCCGGGGTCTCTGATGGCCTCCCTGTCTACCAGAACACCGCCCGCCTCCCGCTCCGCCTCACTCCGAAGATTAATCTCTCGTGGAGGTCAGACCAACAGGGACGAGATGCCTCCCAAACGCCCCTCATTCTGCGAGATATACGTTGAAGGCTACGGAAATGGTCTGAATGAAGTTGCTCGTGATGTCGCTTCTTCTACGCTAGCGGAGCTGACCGCCGAACCCGAGCCGGTCATTCAAGAGGATCAGCAAGAACCGCACGAGCTTCAGGGCGACATCGTCCATGAAATGGCAGCTGACAACACCGAGGACTTACCTCCGCTACCACCATCGGAAACCTCAGGTACAACACCTCCAAGCATGTCTCGCGAGTCTTCCAATTCTTCGGTCAGCAGTGCCTCCTCCCACGGCAACGAGGACGGTGATGTTGCGCCCGTCACATCGACGGGCAGTGCGGCATGCACACTCGAAGAGATTCTGAGCTCTACCAGTCTCATCAAACGTCGAGACGGCATCAAAGACGACTTGGCTTGCACCACAATCAGACGGCGACCGCAGTCGCTCGTACTTCGAGGCACAGTTCCTCGTATTAACATCATCAACAGTGACCGGTACGATCCAGACCTCGAATTGCCGTATGTTCACTTCAACACACAAACCTGGGACATGATCCTGGCACAAAGACCAATGACTGCGCCCGGTCCGACGGCGATTGCTGCGTAAAACCTGACGATTTTCTTACATCTACCATAGACAACCACCAGACCTTACAGCCACATCTCCGGCTTACAACTACGTCACTTGATAATATGGCCAGCCAAAAGCGAAGGCAGGCGTCGCATCACATGCATATGGGATGGGATTTCTTCCAAGGAAGAGGAGGGATATAATAATGACCACGAATCTCATTTTTGTTTTCACCCCCACAAAAAGACCGTGCATGACCCTTGGTCCCTTTGGGTGCCTTGTACCTTGTAGGCAAGGCAAGGCGAGGCGAGGCGACGTGTGGGATTCAACTACATACCTACGAGTTAATCATCGCGGGCGTTGTTTGTGTATTTACGATTTTTCGATATCGATACCCTTGGGCGAGGCGAGAGAGACAGAGCGGGTCAATTGTGACTATGTGAGGTCTCCGCTACACATGCATCCAGGATAGTTGTTCTTTTTTTCGGCAGGAAAGGCGTGAGCAGGAAAGCATCCTCCTCGCGTGCGTGCGTGCGTGCGTTTTCTCGGAATACATGTAGCGAAAAGCAATGCCAAAAATCATAAATTTGATTTTCTCAATTTCTAGATTCGTCTCAAAGGGAAGGAAGGGTCATGATTTGGTGAGAGGTAGTCTTAGAATGGATTCGAGGGACTATCCAGCGATAGAGTTCATCCAGGTCCAGCTGCAGCTCACCTCGTCTCTCCCCATGCGTCGTCCAAATCCGCTTGTGTGACTTGATATCCCCACTGTAGACAAGTCTGGTGTATGACCGGACTGACTCTGCGTTCATGTTGGACGTCACTATCCTCGTCATCGTCGTCAAAGACACTGCGCACGCCCATCTCGACGTACTTCTTCAGCAGCATCCTCTTCCACCTGCCCTTGGGGCCGACACACCTCAACCACCGACCGACCTGCCTCTCGTCCTCGCCGTCGTCGAGCCGCCGCCCGAGCCAGAACCGGATGTACCACTCGAACCAGCCGCGCGCGTCGTGCCGGAAATTGATCCACCCGGCGTCTTCCCACTGCGCGAGCGTCTGCCCGCACGCACGGCCGTGGCGGTTCAGCTCGGCGTCGTAGCTCGGAGAGGTGAGGTATTTCTGCGCGGGCTGCAGCTGCGCGAGCCACGGTCCCGGCAGCGTCGACAGGTGGTCGTCCACGAGGGTCACGCCTAGCGTGCGGCTAAGCCAGGGAGAGAAGAAACTGCCCCCGAAGGCGCCTTCAAGGAGGATGGACAGCGGGGATTTGTTGGGTCGGAAGGCAGGGTGTGAGACGAAGTGGTAGTTGTCTGTTTCAGGGTCCTGCGTTGGAAGAGGTGACGACGGAGTCCAGGAGTTGTAGTGCTGTAGTAGAGAGGGGAGGGTGGTGGGTAGAGATAGAGACGACGAGAGGGGGTTCAAGGTTGAAGGAGACGAGTTGGCGGCAAGGGGAGCCCTTTGAAGATGGTCATGATGACCAGAGCGCCGGGCGCTACGAGCGCCTCGTCTACTCTTCGATCGTCGCCATGAGCCATTCCCATGGTCATCATCGTCTCCCACGGCAGTATTTCTGTCGGCGACAGCGCCGTTGGTGTTCTCATCCTCGCGGTAAGACAAACGGCCTCCCGCCGCCGCGGCCGCGATGCGCGCAGAAGCCCTGGGCGCCGTCCTCAGGAGTCCCGGGCTCGGGTTGGGATTGGGACTGGCGGCTCCTCTCTGCCTCTTTGCCGGTGGCATCCTTGCCTCTCCTGCCGCCGCTGCACGCTTTTGTCCCGTCCTTCCCTTCGAGGGCAGCAGGTTGAGCGACTCGAGCAGTTTCTGCTTCTCCTGCATGTTTGCAAGGCGCGTAGCCTCCAGGTCAATGTCAATTCCGGGACCCATCGTAGTTAGTGGAGCACCACAACAGACCACGACGAGTAGGCACTCAAAGGGCAAATGTAAATGTTTGTGTCTTGTTTACGGAATTGTCATTGTCCATTGTTCATTGTCGCGCACTGCCACCCTCGACGCGGTGGTGGTGGTGGTGGCGGTGACATGGGCCATGACGTCACCAATTATAGAAACAAAACACGCCCGGTCTTTGCTTCATTGTTTAGCTTCACATCTTGCCCAGTCAGTTCCGCATGGCGAACATCCAACACCCGCTGACTCCACCATCTCAAGCCATGGCTCAGGGCAACCTCCCAAGCATCACCCCAGACGAGGTCTACGACATCAATGATGATTCCTGATGCGAGAGTTGCGAAATTTGCGGTCACGTCGCATCGATGCTGAGAAGAGATTCCAGCACACAGCCTACGAGTTCTTTGCCACGGCCCTCCCACTTCCACCCTGGGCTTTTGGAAACTGGCTCAGTCTGCTCCGTGGCCGGCACCTGCTGGGGCTGACAAACTTCGTCTGCGATGTCATGCCACATATTGTGGAGAAGCTCAACCCTACGGAACTGCCTACTGTGAGAACCAGCAGTCCCTCCCAAGGGAACAAGAGCCTGACGAGTGGCGACAAACTGAACCCGACATCGTATGCGGGCAGGCGAAAGGGGCTCACAAAGAAGAGAAAGCGGGCGCAGTCTCTACAGAATTGCCCCTGATTCTTGTTGGTCGAACTGGCCTCTCCGTGTCGGGCGTTCATCAGGCTTCACACTTTACGCCAATGAAATTGGATTTCTTTGACTAAGTGTTGGCAAGTTGCCGACATTAGGCCACAGTATGTATAGTTTCCGGAGCTGGAACTTCCTGGGGATCATGAGCTTCCGGAGTTTTCGAGGAACGACATGGAAATGGCGAACAAGTCAGGTGAAATGAATCTGCCACGGACATAGGTATTGGGTTGTAACCACCTAGTTTCGACCGCAGCGCAAATGTTCCTCGGTGATCTGTTCCGACCCTGTGATCTGCTTGTCATCAAGCTGGTCCCGCTCATCTTATCGTGTCTGTCCTGTCTCATAACCCAAACCACAGCCATGTATTGTCTTAAATCTCCCAAATTCTGTCGTAGAGCCAAACTTGTCTGGAACAAAAACCCCGTCTATCGAAACATCTGATTCCAAGCCTCCCAGTGGTTCTTAGCAGCGGGCTGGCGAGCAAGGCCCCATCTCTGTAGTTCTTTTGTTTCATCACCCACCGATGTCTCGGTTTCACGCCAGAGCTCGAAGTCGATGATGCTGCATTTCTTCGTCTCTGGGTCCCATAGAATGTTCCGCAGTCCGCAGTCTACGGGTTCAATGCCTTGAGCGTAGATCCACCTGTCGACCGTCAGCATGGTGGGGACCACATCTAGGATGCAATAGGTGTGGTGACCCCTGTGTGCATTGGGGATACATAACCTACCTAAGAGCAACGAGGAACTTCTGGGTAATGTCATGTCGTTCTTCGGTCGTCATTCCCCAGTAGTACATGTTAAAGAGTGAATCGCCGGGCATCTTTGTCATGACGAGGAACGTGAGATACCCCCCCGGCAATTGTCCCTCGGCAGGCTGGACCGCCTTCTTGAAGTTGACCAGCACCGGCGTACATGCGCTGTCAGTATCTCGGAACTTTTCCAGCGCTTGGAGTTCATGTGCTGTCGTAGTACTAGGCCCAAGTTCAGGGCTGTTACTGGGTCGTCGTTCTCCCCCCGGTATTCTCGATGTCTCAAGTCAGCCTTATGGTGTCAACCGGTTCGGTACGACTTGAAGACATACTGGATCTTGATCTTCATGACATATTCGTCCACTGGCGAACAGTCTCCGCTGCAGGGGCGACATGTAAGGACTATGCGCGCCTCTGCGGGGGTGCCATCGTGACAAGAGCGATAAGTCGCCAAGGGTTTCAGCAGCTCAAAAGCAGTTCCATCCGGAAACTCAACAACCTTGTCGATGTAGCATGGAAGAACTGGAGCGGCTTCTGCCATTTTCTAGTGCAGAGTATAAAGATGTTCCCCAAGGCTGACTTTGCTCATCAGCCAAAAGATCAGCAGTTAGTGAGAAGCAAATTGTTATTGTGTCGGGACATCCAATGAGATCGCACGTGTGTTCTCAGAGATCTGATAGTTATGGTGTAAGGCTGATTTCCTTTAGCCCGTCTCACAGCCTCCCCCACTGAGAAAGATAGGTTTCCCTGAGATATCTTAAAGGTCGAAGCGCGGTGGTTGTGGTTGTGGTTATGATTGTGGAGGCACAAATCGGGGATCTGCACGATGGATTGGCCAGAGTTTATTGATCCTGTCATCCGGGGATTCGGGGATTCACCGACAAGCGCACACCATTGACCCTGGGGGGCAAGTGGTAAAATTAAAGCCTGGAAATGTGAGACGAGGCTGCTGCAGGTGAACAACGCAATAAAGGAGTCCTTACCATCGACGCTGTTGTTGCGGCTGGACGCACCACTATGGACAGAGAACAGCACACTGCTTGGACACGGATGGCGGGAGCATAGCGCGAACATGGCGTGGATCTCTGGAGGTACTGGGTCCTCGTATTCGTGCAAGGTAGTCGTCGTACTCGTAGTCTGCGGTTGGCATCGACGGGGAATTGGGCAAGTCAGAAGAACGCTAGGACCAGCAGCTGGCACTCAGAGACACACCAGGAAACCCTTTTCCCCATAATTTGGAGCTCCTCGATAGATGTTTCAGGCCCGCTGTGGTCCTGATGCTGATGCTGGTGTTATACTGGCGCTGGTGCCGTTGTGGTGCCAATGCGGCCCCAGTGGAAGATCATCGCTCCGTACCTGCATGAGAAGATCCCAACTGAGGGACGCCCATGCTCGATTCGATCTTCCCTCCACCACATATTGACGTCTGTGGTTTCGCTATCTCCTCTTCGCACAGCGGCTTAGCCGGACGCCAGTGCAGGCGATCCCCAAGAAACCACCAGTACGAGCATGATTTGCCCTATGCCTCGCGATCTTTGTCACGTCTAAGTCGTTCACCGCAATCTGTTTCACCCTCGAAGTCCCAACTACAAAACAACAAGTGTGGCCGAGCCTTTTTTTCCCCAGCCGATGCCAGTCAGAAATCACTTAAACCCGCGATTTCTCCCTGCTCCATCGATCAGGCCCTCCTTTCGTCTCGTCCACGGTCTCAGAAAGACCCAGAGCAATCAATCTTGGTGATTCCACTGTCCCCCATTGATCGCCAAGTTGGATATGATTGCCACCTCCTCCCTCAGCGCAGAAAGACCCGGCTCTACCTCTCTCCCCCTCGTCGCCCCCGAATCCACCGACCGTCCAGTCTCGACCGCGCCCACTGCTGCTTCCGACGCCAAAGAGCTACCTGTGACCTACTCCACTAATGCTCTGTTGCGCGAACCCCTCGAAGAAAATGAACTACGTCAAGTCAATGGTGGTCGGCGTGGGGAACAAGAGCTGCCTCGTTTACAAGCAAATGCGCAGATAGAAGACGGTGACAACCTGGCGCCCATTCTCGAAGATGATCCGGCGTCCTTCAACCTTATCGCCCCTCCTCCCCTAGACCAGGGCGACATCTTCTCGCTAGAGACGCAGACACAAGCCCTCTTCTCGAGGGGACATCTACAAGTCATCTTTGCCGACCCCAGTTACCTCTTCAAATTCACGTCTTTCCTTGGAATGTACCGACCCCAGTCGGTGCCTATGCTCGTGCACTATCTGGATTCTCTGAAATCACTGCGGGCCATCAATTATGCCAACGCCATCTGCGAGGGTCTAGACCCGATAGAAGGCTATGAGTTTACACAAAGACCGGTCAAGCCGACCATCAATACGGCATTGGAAGAGAGGGCGCACAAGGCTTTTGAAATCCTTGCGATGGAGGAACTGCCTGCTTTCATCACACATCAGTACATTCAAGTCGTGAGTAACAGCATTACCGCCAGAATAACGGGTTCGCTCTCGCCGCAACTCCGGGAAGCCTCAGATGGGTTAGCAGAAGTTTTTTGTTTGACGGATCCCTCAAGGCACGACAACCCGATTGTATTCGCCTCGGAAGGTACGCCTGCCCATACCCGTGCAATGGTCCGTTGTGGGTTGCTGACACGAAGCAGAATTCAATCGGACGACCCAATACGGCATGTCATATGTTCTGGGCAGGAATTGCAGGTTTTTACAAGGGCCCATGACCAATCCGCACAGTCTGCGGAGGATCCGAGAAGCCCTCAAAGCAGGCAAGCAACATCAAGAGGTCCTTCTCAATTAGTGAGTATGCACCCCGTGTAATTCAGAAGTGTCTGACGAGAGGCAGTCGACGGGACGGCTCTCCATTTGTAAATTTGTTCATGATGGCTCCTCTTTCTGACAGTAGAGGCATCGTTCGATATCATATCGGAGCTCAAGTCGACGTGAGTGGGCTTGTCAAGGACTGCTCAGAAATGGAATCTCTCCGAAAGCTGTTGGACCTGCGTGCTCGGGGCGAGGATCCACCACTGCCCGAGAAGCCTAACCCCGAGAAGAACGACGAGCTACGGGAACTGAGCGAGATGCTTAATCAAGGCGAGTTGAATACCATCAAGCGTCATGGAGGGAAGATGCACCGCGAAATCGTTGAGGATGACATTGAGAGCGTGTCGTCTCACCATCAACCTCGGCTGTTGCTCAAGGACCCGGATACCATGGTGCCATCAGTTGCCAGCATAAATGGGAGACTGAGTGGCATATATCAGCACGTAAGTTTCTACAAAGGCCGCCAGTGTGTGCCCATGATTGACCGATCACGCAGTATCTCCTTGTGCGGCCATATCCTTCTTTGCGAATCCTCTTTGCGAGCCCGTCACAACGATTACCTGGAATTCTTCAGTCACCCTTCCTGAACAAGATCGGCGGTTCGAATCGAGTCCGTGAGGAATTGACGACTGCATTTGCCGAAGGACGAGGCGTGACCGCCAAAGTGCGCTGGGTCACTAAAGGCGACGACCAAGGCAAGAACAAGTGGATTCATTGCACTCCACTACTGGGCCAATCAGGTCAGATTGGCGTCTGGATGGTGGTGGTGGTTGACGACGAGAAGACCATTGAAAGATGGCCTACTGCAGCCGGACGACACCCACCCCAAGTGGCCGCCACAGAGAGGAGCTGGACTCCAGCTCCCAACAGCGCGTACCAGATAGTCGGATCGCCCCACCACGGTGTTGGCGAAATGAACGGCGGACAACAGGATCGAAATGGTGGAGGCAGCCTGGGCAGTGCCACGGGCAGCGCGACCAGCCTGAGGATCGGATGATGGAGAGCATTTGAGTTTTCTTGGATGTTACCCTTGCTCTGTTCTTTTTGGAGCATGTGTCTGGTACATGGACTATGAATGCAAGGTGGCGAAGTGGAGGAATTCACATCTTGGGTATCTATTTGACCTAAAGGGGGATAACTGACTGCTGGGTGTAATATTTGGAGAGCATCTCACTTGATCGAGCCAGATATCATCAATGGCGCGAGTATTTGTTGAGCGATTATGCGACCGCTGATCTGCTGGCTTTTGAGAGTCTATGTCGTTTCACCTCGTATTCGCTAGGTGAATACCTCAAGTGGGCGGTGTTGAACAAGCGTTGCCAGCTTCATCAGGCTGCGCTTGATCATTTTTGCTGGGGTGTTCGTTACTAACAGGGTTTCCAGAGAGCGGAATCTGGGGCCGCCGCGGCCGGGTCAACTCTTTCCGACTCCTTCGTGTTGTCACGAATGGTGGAGACATGTATGGGTTCCATCTCCTGCTCCTTTGCAGCCTTGTCGAAGCTCTACGAGGTGTTCGGTACGAGGTACTCTTTTGTGTATGTGCCTTCTCTGCCCTGGCCCTCTCCCTCACCTTACACCGAGAATATCTCCTCACACAAAGGCCCCCAGCCCAGTGCAGGCCCTGCCCTGACAAGATCGCCGTCAACACTCTTCAGGCAGCAGTAGGGCCCAAAGTACTCTGCAATTCGCCCCTGGCAGCAAAAGACATGCTGAATTGATCCATCACAATACCAAAGCTGTAAAAGCTGGCTCGGTCCGCCAAGGGGGCCGGCGTTGCTAGTTCCCGGGGCCGAGATCAAGGGGTTGTGTCATCTAGGCACCTACAAGGCGCTGCGCCATCTCTCTGACTCAAAGCGTGAGAGATAGTGAGCATTTGCACGACAGGGACTTTGGAGTGGTGGCCTCTCTGAGAAGCATCCTTGACTGAAAAGCGCGCTGAATCCCTTCATACAATTGCCCTTGTAAGTCAATACTCTTACCCCTGCGTTCATGCCTCACCAAATGCAGTCTGCTAGTGATATACCTTGCACCTGTCGTTCTCTCCATGAGGATTGCAACCCTGCAACATGTCCTCAAAACCAGCACTCAAACAAACCAGGCAACAACTTCAAGCTGTCCGAGTTTCTCCAAAATGCCCAACGGGGTTGTTCCGTCTGCTCTGCGATCTGTAGCGCACTCTCCGTGGAGCCGGTGAAAAACGTATGGCGGAACACCATAACTCCAGGCAAAAATGCTTCGATAGCAGAGGAGAGCATTCCGATTGAGTTGATGCGCACGGGCGAAAGACCTGGCCGAGTGGTGATCAGAACAGGCAATACTTACGGCTCCAGCTCCCAGCTTTGGAGGCATTTCAACTTATTCGTCCACCCAAACGCCCCTGAGCCAAAGTCATGTATGGCCTTGAGGAAGCTGAAATGTGCACCAATAGACAGGACAGATTCTGCTGAGAGCTACCGTTTTCTGAAGCAGTGGCTGGACGGATGCAATAATCTCCATCAGTGTTCGGCGCCTGAGCCTCCCAGCTTGCCAAAACGCGTTCTGAGGCTTCATCCCGACCGAGTGCACCTATACCTCAGCCAGGAGAACGAAAAAGCCCGGTATGCGACCCTGTCCCACCGCTGGGGGAACTTTGATGAGAGCTTCATCTTGGAATTGACGAACCTCGAATCCCTCACCAAGGACATCGCTTGGTCTCAAATACCAAAGACTGCCCGGGATGCTATAGAAATCTGCCGAGTCCTCGGCATCGAATACTTGTGGATTGACTCTTTGTGCATCATTCAACGCAACGCAACGGATTGGAACGACCAGTCACAGAAGATGTGCACCATCTATGGGCAATCTTATCTCAACATTGCAGCAATGGACTCGAACAACTCCAGTGGCGGCTGTTTCCGGTCGACGGGTTCGGATACGCGATACCCTCCTCACAATGTGCCTGGTCATCCAGGCCTCCAAGTCCAGCAACAACCTCACTTCACCCACCTTGATTTCGGCGCCAACTATGCCACTTCACCCGCCTCGCCTCCGCTCCTCCGCCGCGGCTGGGTGCTCCAAGAACGTCTCTTATCCCCACGTTGCGTCTACTACGGCAAGGACGAACTTCTCTGGGAATGTAAAGCTTGTGCGGACTGCTTATGCGGCGGAACCAATGTCATTGCCCGGTTCAAAGACGCTCACCATCGTTCGCTGACCGAAAATGGGGATCCTTTGCCCTTTGCCTGGATGAGAGTCACTGAGCGTTATTCTTCCCTAGACCTAACTCACGACTCCGACCGAGCAATCGCATTATCTGGGATCGCCCAGGAAGTGGTGGAGTCAGGCCGAGGAGGCAAATACCTCGCAGGCCTGTGGTCGGACAAACTGGCATACCAGCTCGTCTGGTCGCTGTCCAATACGTTCCGCAGACCCAGGGAGTATATTGCACCCAGCTGGTCATGGTTGTCCGTGTTCGGCAGGGTCGAGTATGGTCAAAATCGTATGGATTACGGCGCTGAGTGGTCGACCATCGATGTCGTCATCACTGATGCCGCGGTCTCAGCATCAAAACCGGACGGTACGGGCAAGATCAAATCAGGCTATCTTATGCTTAACGGCAAGGCTCTAACCATGAAGGTTGATGCGGTTGTGCCAAAAAGAAGCCGGCCACAGATGAAACTGACGCACTCGGAACTTCACTTTGAGTCACCAGTCTTCTTGCCTGACTATGTGATGACACCACAGCAAGCTGCGGCCGTCGAGAAAGTTGTTGTGCTCTACTGGGGCAGAATTGTCCACCAACAAACGTTCATGGTTTTGCGGGAACTTCTTTCGGACGGTGTTCTGGTGTATGAACGGCTTGGACTGCTCGCCGCGAACCACCACTGGACTCGACAATTTCAGCGTGTAGCAGAACCCACGATGGATATACGGGTAGTCTAGAGGGTTTGACTCCTTGACCGCGTGAGAATCTTCGTGACATTTTGTTGCGTTCAACGCCGACGGCCAGCCAGTTGCATGCTCCAGCAGACGACTTCCTGTACCATGGATGTCCCTCAATTGTCCTCCTACAGTCTCCTGTGCCTGATGCCTGAACAGGCTGAGCAGCAGAAACACGTGTCAATGAACTTCCACTTGGGCCCTTTGAGTCTCAGCCTCGAAGCAGCCCTTGCCTTGACAATACCCCGCAGCCTGGCGGAGGTACATAGTCTGTCCACGACGATATTTCCATGAACGAAACCTGGTGACGATTGTGAGAGGACATGTCGACTGAGCCTGACGAGCCAAACAAATCTGTACGGAGTCAACCCACAGCTCTGTCTATCTCCGCCATACCCTCCCGGCGAATTATTGGAAGTGGTTCATCATCAGGTACGTCGCCAATTGGAGTTGTTCGACATTTCCGTGGGGTTTCAGCATTATGCGAACGAACGGTTGGCCACGGAACTCTGACGAATCCCGTTGGTGTGGGACATTGACACATCCTCATACGGCAAAACCGAGGGCAATGGACGAAAACTGCTAGCCACATGGGAAATGCTGAATTGGTCCCTTTCCAAAGAGACTGAGTCGTCCTGGACATGTTCCATACGAGTCACGGCCGATGATGACCGATGATAGACAAGACCCGAGGTCCGACGCCGGAAACATCAGCCCCTCCTTGAATACAGATGCATTTGGAGATACTTGGTATACGGAAGATAACTATTCCAGTTCTTTTCATTGCTTTCAAAGGCCGTTTTTTTTTTCCAACTGCCAATTCGCCTGTTGTCAACTCGCCCCGAAAGCCATCGGAATCTTTTGTATCATGCTTTTCGACCCTTCCTCGTCGTCGCTGCCAAAGCGATCGGAATTGCCCAAGATCCCAGGGGCGCCCGATGGCGCAGCCTGGTTCTGGGGCAAAGATGACGAGGTATGGAAGTCTCTGGATATCTTGTCGTATTTATTCCTTTCCCAGGCCGGATTTGTCTCTGACACACGAGTAGCTCGGACGTCTCAATCTCCTGACGCCCGAACGCACCTCCAAGGCTGCAGCGTTGATCAAGACCGGTGAAGTTGTAAATCTCAAGTAAATATGAATGCCCCCGTCGCTTCTTCCCTCTTAGGGGAATCGGAAATGACAAACATGGAGAAAGGTCAGTAGAGGCTAATTTATATGTCGATACAAATTCAAGTTGGCGTGCCGACTATCCCGATCCCCCTGCTTTTGGGAGACAGAGCTTCAAGCACACCATTTCACCTCTGGGCGAGACGGGGTTCGACGACCTGTACGATATGAACACGCAGAGTGGATCGCAAGTCAGTTTTGGATGGCCCATGTTTTGTTCTTGTTTTTCGGACTGACATTTCGCAGTGGGACGGCTATCGACATGTAAGGCTCCGCATATTACAGATATACCCTCGAAAATTTCTGAGAATCTCATTCTGACTCCTTCCGGTTGGTTTGCTAAAGGTTGGACTTCGTCACAATGACAACGTGGTTTTTTATAATGGGGTACGTGAAGCTGTCTCCCATCTGGCGACCAATCCAGAAGACTATGACATGACTAAACGGGTGACCAATAAACAGCTCACGACGGACGAAATCTATAAAACGGACAGGTGCGGGATCCAGGCATGGGCCAAGCACGGAATAGGTATGTTATCTGAAGCCAATGCCTCTCCAGAGAAACCCCAGACAACGGACATACGGCCTCTCTTTCTCTTGTCTTGAAATGTCTCATTTACTGACCTTTACCCCTCTCCTTTGGGGCCCAAAAACAGCTGGCCGCGGAGTCCTCCTCGACTACTGGGGCTACTCGGGTGGCAACTACAACCCGAATAGCTCGCACGCGATCTCACTGAGTGAACTCCAGGCGTGCGCCAAAGCCCAGGGCGTCGAGTTCCAGCCGGGCGACATCCTGCTGGTGCGCTCGGGCTTCGTGCAAGCGTACAACAAACTGAACGCCGAGGAGCGTGAGCGTGTGGGCAAGCTGTCGTTTGCCGACCTCGCGCTGGCCGGGGTCGAGGGAGGCGAAGCTATGCTCGACTTTTTGCACGACAACTACTTCGCCGCCGTGGCCGGGGACGCCCCCTCGTTCGAGGTCTGGCCATTCCAGCAGCCCGCGCTGCACTATTACCTCCTCCCGCGCTGGGGCATGCCCATCGGCGAGATGTGGGATCTCGAGGAGCTCGCCGAGACGTGCCGTCGCAAGAAGCAGTACACCTTTTTTATCAACAGCGTTCCGGCAAATGTCCACGGTGAGTCTTTTCCAGGCGGATACCTTTTCTTTTACCTTTCTATTCTTTTTTTTTTCCTACCCGCACATTTCCCGCCTTTGGGAAGTACCGATCAGGGATCTTCGGACCACAGACATACAAAAAGGGGGCATTGGTCACTAACTCTGTTGGTCTTTACTTTTAGGTGGTGTCGGGAGCCATCCCAACGCTGTGGCGATTTTTTAGAATTCTGGGATAGAGAAGGAGGAGGAGGCAGGAAGAGGGGTAGAAGGAACATGGAATGTGTCAAGATAAATAAACCGGGTTCTCTTCTTGAAGATGAATTATTCTTGGTAGCAAGGTGGCTTGTGAGTTCATGCCATGCCGTGCAATGAAATGCAATGCCATACAAGGGATCTCCAGTGCAGCTAGCCACCTACATACCTACCTGCCTAGCTTTCCACCCATCCATCATATCAACTATGCACGTATTGTACAGAGGACCCTGGCTTTCTCTCTCTATCTCTGCTTTGGGAAGGTATGGGGGCGAAGGAGGCGAAGTGCGATGAGACTGCGGGGAATGGTGCGTATCCATGCTACCTTGGCTCGTATTTATTGGAGGATGTTCTCGACGACGAACCGAGTATGCGAGTCCCCTGCTACCATACGGCCTGGGTCGCGTGCTAAAGGTACATCGTCGTTGGGGGCTGTATGGTGTATGGTAATTAATCATAAGTGCGGTGGAGATAAGACTCTAGTAGACTGCGCCTGGGCAGCAACGCAGTGCCGCGTCTTGAATCTTTGAATGTCGCATCAACGTCGCCTCGGCTCTCATTCCCACACCACCACTTCTCTACATATCTTATTCGACATGTTGACTGGATGAGCACGGTTGGATCAGATATAGAGGGTGCAGGCAACAGATACGAGTGAGAATCCTTCCTGAACTCCTTCCGACAACCTGTATTGACACCCGCCAACTCAGAAGTTTTCAGCCGCACCAAAGCATGGATTCAACCATCGTTGCTTCGACAGGACTGCCGGCCAGCATCATTGTCCTTATCCTAACAGTCATTATTCTAGTAGCGGTCACGGTTCATCGTGGGCTTACCATTGATCACAGTCCTGGGGAGCCTCCAATCATCAAGCCGGCGATCCCCTATATCGGCCACATACTGGGAATCATCAGGCATGGCACACATTATTTTGAGATTGTCAAGTGAGTGAGTGATGGATGCCTCTAATGCTCGCAATCTAATGTGCCTCAGCCGCGACACTCGGTACCCGATCTACACGTTGCCCACCTTATCTACTAGACAGTACATTGTCACTTCTCCTCAGATTGCTGCTCAGCTCCAGCGACAGCACAAGGACCTCGCCTTTTACAATGTCATTCTAGAAGTCACGCGCAGGTTGACCAGCCTCAAGCCAAGTACCATGAAGATTGTCATGAAGAACGTCAATGCCGAGCAAGGTGATTGGGGCCTGATGCCGACTATGCATGACATGTTCAACACGGTACTCGGACGAGGGGAGTCGTTGAAAGACCTCACTCGTTCGCAAATGTCGATCTTTTCCGAGATGCTTAACGAGGTCGCCGTGGGGGGAGATCGTCTGGAAACGGATTTATTTGGATGGATCAAGTCGACCTTTGCTTTTGCCAATGCAAAATCCATCTATGGTCCAGAAAACCCCTTTGCCCTTGATCCCAGCTTGGTCGATTCTTTCTGGGACTTTGAGGCTGGTATGCTGGCCCTTATTATTGACATTTTTCCTTCCATCACAGCCAGGAGGGCATATCTGGGACGAGAGGCGATTGCCAAAGCCCTGGTTGACTATGTCAAAGAGAAGCGGTGGCGCAAGGCTTCTCTTCTCATTCAAAACCGCATCAGCATCAACCTGAGCCACGGATTTACCGAGGCCGAAGCAGGTCGATCAGAGATCATCTTGCTCTTTGCAATCCTCGGAAACGCTGTGCCATCCACGTTCTGGATTCTTACAAATATCATCAGCCGTCCAGATCTACTGGCGCAGATACGGAACGAGCTTCAATCGGCTGTCACTGACGAGGGGAGTGGAGGCAAAATCATCAATCTCTCTGTCATCGAATCCTCCTGCCCACTTTTTGTGTCGACGTACAGGGAGTCCCTACGCATGATCGGCAACCTGGCCTCACTTCGATACGTATTGAGGGACACGGTCATCGGGCAACATTACCTGAGAAAGGATTCTATTATTCAAGTGGCTGGAATCATCATCCACCATGACCCGCAAACCTGGGGCCAAGACAGCGACCAGTTTAACCCTCGACGTTTTATCAAGGGCCAGGCATCTGTGGCGGATAAAGATTCAGAGCCGTCGGGCTTGGACCTCAAGGAGCCGACGGCAACACAACTGCCTCCTGGCGTCCCCTCGGCGGCATTCCGTCTTTTTGGCGGTGGCAGTGTGGTGTGCCCGGGACGACACTTTGCTCAAAGTGAAATCCTTGCTTTCGTTGCGTACCTATTGATGGCATTCGATATCTCTACTCCAGATGGAACACCCATCACACTACCTCCGCGAGACAATGAAAAGATCCCTTTGAGCGTCATCAAACCCAAAGGCGATATGAAAGTCAGGATTAACAGACGAAAGGGGTATGAAGATGTCTCGTGGCGTCTGGTGGCTGATGGGTTCCACTGATGGACCTGTAATTACCTTTGCTGGCGAAGTTTTGAAGTAGAGCCATACGACCCGAGCGACTGCTCATATTTTCATCTTTATAACATCTGAGTGCATGGCAACAATCAGCATCGCCATCCTCTTGTCGGTGCCTCTATTGATATCTCGGATGATTGTTTTTCCTTTCCGAGAACAAGTGGAGACGCGACACGTTGCTTCCCCTTTTCGGTTCCGTCAACACCGAAAAATGCGTATAAAATTCAACGACTCACCACATTTCTCGCCTGATCCTGTAAGCTCCCAGCAACAAGTATGGCGATCTCGAGCAAGGTTTCCAGTAAATGCACAGTTTTCCCGTGAGCTATCAGGTCTCACTGCTGCGAGCGTGATCCACGAAGAGTCTATTGACCGGGAAGCTCGGGATGACCCTCTGTTTCTTCAATCGTCTGCTCCTTGTCATGTTTTGATTGAGATTTTGTTGTCTTTTTTTATTTTAGTCTGCTTTGAGCATCTTTGCGGCCATCAACAGATCAAGACACTGCAGGTCCGTGTTGATCCTTGTCAGCATAAAGGGGGAGACCGGCGTTTGAGCGAGCGACTTTTCGGTATAGCGAACCTGTGTCAGCAATAATACAAAAAACCACCTCCCCACAAAACGAGACGCGAGCATTCATTTCTCGAACAAGTCCTCAAACACCTCCTCCTTCTCCTGGCTGACCCGAACATGATCCGGATCAGGCATGCTGTTCTCTGCCTGGTTTTCGCGACCTTTGTTACTCTGGGGCTCTACTATGGGTCGGCGAGTGGCTCCATCACCGTCAAGTCTTTACAGTCTAAAGTCCCGCAGATTGTTGGACTTGGAGACTATTTTGACTCGGACACATCGGATGTCCAGAACCAGAGTCAACCGGCTTCCACCCCTGGAGATGACTCCGGGGCCTCGAACGCTACAACCGGGTCGTTAGCGACCACGGCCCCTACGGGTGGTTCTTCGGGATCGAGATATACACGAAATCTGGTCATGGCTCGACTGAAGGAGGAAAGCGTTACGTGGCTTGACGGCGTCGACCTCGGTGCCGACATCAAAAAGTTCATCTACATCGCTGATGACCCCAATGCGCCCTTGCATCCACCCAAGAACAAGGGTCATGAAGTCATGACTTATCTCACCTACATTATCGACTTTTATGACGAACTGCCCGATGTCAGCATCTTCATGCATGCCCACCAAGACGCATGGCACAACAACGAACTGCTGAACTGGGACGCCGCCGAAATGATCAAACGGCTGAGTAGCGAGAGAGTCCTGCGTCAAGGCTACATGAACATGAGATGCCATTGGAATCCCGGATGCCCGGACTGGATCCATCCAGGTCAGATACAGAGGGACAAGGACAAACTGGAACAATCATACATGGCGTCAACCTGGGCAGAGTTGTTCGTAGACAAGCCGATCCCTGCCGTCCTGGCTCAGCCGTGTTGCTCCCAGTTTGCGGTGAGTCGCAATCAGATAAGGTTGACACCGAGGGAGACATACCGACACTACCGAGACTGGCTGCTGCGCTCAGAAATATCGGACGTCACCAGCGGTAGAATCTTTGAGTATATCTGGCAGGTCATCTTCGCGAATGAGAGCGTGTTCTGCCCGAGCCAACGGGCATGCTACTGTGATGGATACGGTGTCTGCTTCGATACTGACAAGACATTTGACAAGTGGTTCGAACTGAGGTACGAGAGGCAGATGGCCGAGAAGGAGCTGAGTGAGTGGGAAGAAAAAGCGGAAGCGATCGAAAAGTTCCGGGACAAGGATGGCAGACTGCCTGGCATCGAAGCCGGGGAGCTTCAGGTGCCAGAGATTGGACGGAAAGAACAGCTCGAGGCCTCGATTGAGGAGAAGAAGGCGGAGCTTGAACGGAGGAGATTGGAAGCCTTGGAGAGAGGGAGGGACCCGAGGATCAGAGCAGAGAGTGACGGACGGCCCTGGAAAGAGGGAGATGGGTTCTAGAGGTCTATCGGCTCAAGGCGGATTGGCGGGACCAAGACGAGCACCAGACCAGTGCCACCGACCTATTCGAGGCTACGAACGAGGTGCACATAAAGAGATGGAGTGACAGGCTCTACAGGCAAGACACAACGACAGGACCAAGAGCCGTCAAGATGTGACTTTCCCCCTTCATGTCCTGCTTGACCAAAATCTCCCATGGTAATGATCCTTCTCTTTGCAGCAGAAGCCTTCAGGATGTGCATCGGATGGTCTCTGTATGTACAAGGGCAGATCGTCTGTCGCGGCCGTTTGCTGGGACTCTACGACATGGCCAAAGGACGTGGCTTTACCCTCCACTGGGCAGTCTCGGCCATGTTTTGTATATTCTGAGGGGCTCGCCAGGGCACTGGCGGACGAAGATCACCACCAAGCAGAACCAGCCTTGGTTATGTCGACCCCAGTGGCGAGGTTTTAGTGGCGAGGTTTTCCTGGCAACCGATGTCCGGCATGGACGACCGAGCGAGATTCGAGCTATTGTCGGCAACATGCTTCGCGTCGCCCCAAACATAATCAGGGTTGACATCCTTTGTCTCCGACTTCTCGACGTGATGATCAAGGTTGTGGCAATTGCAAGTACCACGGACGAGCGGTGAGCGCCATTGATGAAACTTGCCCAAAGATTAGAGCCGTGGAGTCAAGATGTTCTAGGAGAGACGACCTCCGTCGACACCAATGACGGCAGAAGAAATATACGCCGACGCATCGCAGAGGAGGAAGGCGACCGTTTCAGCGACTTCCAATGCCGTGCCCTTTCGTCCCAGGGGAATCAATTCGGCCAGTGTTTCTTCCGAGTCTGTGGTCGGAGACATGGGGGTTTCGATCTTGCCTCTAACACAAACCATGGAATCAATCTCGATGTCAGAGCCGGAAAGACAAAAGACATTTGAGCGGGAGAGGGGAAGAGAATGTCGGCGTTCAAACTCACGGTGCCACGGCATTGACGCGAATGTTCCTGGGCCCCAGTTCCCTCGCTGCGCACCTGGTGATGCCGTTGATGGCGTGCTTGGACGCATTGTAGGCGTACTGGCGTGGCCAACCCCGACTCCCCCAGAGGCTGGACATGTTGACGATGGAGCCACCGCGCTCGTTCATGTTGGGCACCTGGGTGCGCAGACAGTGCATGAGGCCCTTGACGTTAACGTCAAAGACCAATGCCCAGTCAGCGTCGTCGAGGTCCGCAATGCCGGCGACTCCCGTGTCGGCCCCGGCCACGCCGGCAATGTTGGCCGCGCCGTCCAGCTTGCCGAACGTCTCGACAGTGCGACGGATCCACGCCTCGACCGATTTCCGTTCCCGCACGTCCACGCAGGTGCCCATGACGGTGCCGCCATTCTGCGCGATCAGGTCGACCGTCTCGTCCAGGAGTGACGACTGTACGTCGCAGATGGAGACCATTGCTCCGCGAGCGGCGACCTGGATGGCGGTTTCGCGCCCTATGCCGGATGCGGCACCAGAGATGACAATGACTTTACCTGTTAGATCAGTCGACGACATTCCTGACATTCTCGGTACGAGTAGAGAGGAGTTGGGGGTAGGAGTGCTTTCCTTACCACCATGAGGCAGGGTATCTTCGTTTGAGGCCCTGTGATATACCTCGTACACCCTATTCTTTTCTCGACCATATGCGAGGGGGCTTGGAATCCATCTGAGTTCGAATTCGAGTTCCACTTCGGTCCGTATAATACCCTTGTGGGCCTCTTTTCTCCCATTTTTCACTTTTCGGCGCAACCTCCGAACATCTACCCAGAACCTCCTTAGCACCTGGCACCTAGCACCTGGGCTAGTCGGTACCCGGCAAATTCGGCATCTCTGGCACTTTTGACCCTTCTTTGCTTTGGGGTGGCCGTGGGCCTGCGTGGGTAATACTCGGGGGACGTTGTCTCCAACTGCCACCCACCTAGCACCCCAAGCACCCAAACCACGGGGCAGATCATGTGCATGTGCATGTGCATGGGTAACCGAGAAACTTTAACCTGACGTGCCTGCGTGCCTGCGTGCCTGATCTCCCGAGGGGGAAAGAGAAAGAGAGACAGAGAGAAAGAGACTTTTGGTATGTCCGTTGGTACGTAGCATGCATGATACACGAGATATAATTTGCATGCAATGCAAAGATGAAGGTGAAAACAGGCGGTTTGTCGCACACAGTCCAGCCTCGTCGGGCCCTGGGACTTGGGACTAGGTAGACCAACCGACCGACAACTTGAATCAAATTTCGTCAACCATACACGGTAGATGGATAGATGGATAGACAAATACGGCCAAACTTCGTGTGCTGCAGCGCTCGCACGTAACCCTCTCCTTTTCTCTTCGACTTAACTAACCAGACAGTCTCACTATCTAGTCATCATGCCTCTCCGTGCTCGATCATTGGCAAAGGGCCCCGGTGTTTCGATGGATACACTCTCCCCTCTCTTTCCTTCTGCGTGCCAGGTTCTTCCCAGCACTAGCCCTGAGACTATACTCGACTCGACTCGACCCGACTCGACCCGACTCGACCCGGCCCGGCCTACAGGGTGTACCTATAAAAGGGGCTCTTGTCGCCCATCTTCAACAGCTCGTCGTCGGTGTACCGGGCGCGAATCTCCTCCTCGCTCATCCTGTCGCGCTCCGCGTTGATGCGCTTGTACGAGAACCTCAGGATCAGACACGCCACCACAGCCAGGCAGTCGATGCCCATTATCACGCCGTACCCGGTCCAGTAGTGCGGCGCTTGGTTGGACAGGAAGATGTTGGACCCGACGATGCCGCCCATGTTGCCGATCGAGAGGAGCAGGGCCATGCCAACGGCCCGTTTGGATGAGGGGGCCAGGTTGTTCGCTTTACGGAAAAAAGACGTCAGTCAAAATCTTGCCATGACATCTCTCTCCTTTCCTTTCGTGGCTAAGTGACGCCATTGGGGGGCATGAAAGTAGCAATTGAGGCGACAGATCAGATCAAGAAAAACATACCAACAAAGCACATGACGGGAATCGTAAGC